ACCTCCCCTTAAGGCGTACCAAAGGGTTCGGCGGACCGCCTGCCCAACTCTCGCCAGGACTCTCTCACTTGGTTCAAGGAAAATAACGTACATCCATAGAAAATAAATAACACATCCACTTCAACTTAATATATACATTGATGCTCAAATCTAGGTACAAAGCTTCTACATACCAAAGTACTTCAAAGTGTTTACAATTCGAGTACAATCAACCCTAGTCGGGTACTAGCATGAGTACAAATTCAAAATTCAAAACAACTAGACTATGCTAGTCTGTACACGTCTCATGCCTCACTCGTACCCCCTGTAAGGAAAACAAATAGCATGGAATGAGTTAAAAGCCCAATAAGGTTCCAAATAATAAATTGACCATTTTTTTAAAAGTACGAATATCAACGTAACAAATTAATGAGCATCAAAAGTTCAGAAAAGTGAACAATAATACTTCAAGTAGCAAATCTCAAAGTGAGCGAGTATAAAAGTTTTCAGAAGAAACAATAATCCAATAAACAATAATCATTCCAAAGTATAAGGATACGTATGGTTCTCAGGAGCCAAATCTCCATTGCATCGCCAGAACTTGATCAAGTAATAGTTGACACCAATCTAGTAGAGCACCACTTACACTACTTTCCGTCCACTATTCACACTCCCTACTGGGCCCAAAATTCTCAATAAATACTGGTGGTAATACTCAAGTATACCGATTAGTCAAGGAGATAACACTCCACTCGACATGACTAACTACCTATGATTCGTTATCTAATCGACCAAACCCTTGCTGGCTCGACTCGATTATCTAGCTAGTAGGGTTTGGGTCCCCAAGAAGTCGATGAGATAACCTCTCCAATCGACAGAATTAAGATAAAAGTATGGAGACGGGAATGAGAGGCACTTCCCACTCGGATTGAGTGCGGTACATACTGCCGCTCCACACTTACAAATCAAGTACAAGTATATCAAGTTAATTGCAACAATAAACAAGTATATATCATGTTAGGGCAAGTGCGATAAAGTACACTCTTACCCGATCAACAAATCTCATATAATTTATTTACATTGATCAAGTATTGAGAACAAGTATCCAGTTCAACCAGGTATTTGGAAGCACTCATCAAAAGATGCGGTGCCTTTATGAGTTACGTTCGGGTATTACTCCGTGTGTGGAGTCCAAATCTGCGATAAAACATTGTTTAAGAGCTTTTGAAAGTAACTAAAGTTCGAAACTTAAACATTTCGTTTAATGAGAATCACATAATTGAAACTTATTTGTAGAATATTTGTAAACTCATGCTCGCTCTTAAAACTTGAAAAATTTGAAGCAAGTATACTTTGAAATATCATTTGAGTTGAAAAAATGGAGAAAACGTATTTCGAATAGTCGTTACTTTCATGTTTTCCAAGGGTACAAGTTTCCGGCAAAATTTTAACTTATATACCCTGATTAAAGAAAATGTAAATACCATAGGTGATCTAAGCCTAACTTGACCTCAAATCGTCACTCAGGTCGCAGGTATATCTACCTAGCCCTCGAGCGTAGATTTGGGCAGCACGCCCTTTGTATTTACCTATTTTTCAGTCATTTATGGCTTCATTCTTTTTCTCAATCAATCCCAAAGTCACACATAAAATCATCTCATTTCAATAGCCATTCCATAGGTTCAAAGTCATATAAGTACCAAATCAAGCTAGGAACATGTGCGGAAATGAAGTTTGCGTCAAAAAACAAAAGACAGTTTGATGTTATTTTGCGTAACAGACACAACTGAGGCTACGCTTATCAGATTGAGGTGAAACTTATACCGTTTCGAAGCTAAGACAAAAGGCTACAACTTTGATGAAGACCACTTAATCCAGTTCATAGTGTATCCAGGTCAAACTTTCAAATTATAGAACTAGAATCTCACAAATAGGTCAGTTAACCGCGCTATGCATAAATGACAATAACTCAGGCTACTGAAGTCTGATTGAGGCAATTTTAGTGGCGTTGGAAAGCTAAAATATAGGGCTAAAAGTTTCATGTTTTGGCCAAAGACTGGTTTAGTACGAATCAAGGTGAAAAATGCAGCCAACATGAGGAAATGTCAAAACTGTCTGCTGGACTCTACCTAGGGCAGTCTCAGGGGTATTTTTGTCTTTTTATAAGATACAGTGCTCGGATTAGGCTGAAATTTTGCAGGTAACTATAAAACATCATTGTCTATAAATTTTATGTTTTATACTAAGCCTAGTTCGGCCTCTAACATGGTGAACTAGGACCGGGAAGAACAGGATATACACTAACTTCAATTCTGGAAATTTGCTACAATCAAGATATAATTCCCATTTCTAGTTTAAAACCATCACTACCACCTCATATACAAGCTTGCATATATCATATACCATCCATACAACAAGTATGAGAAAAAAATCATTCAAACCCTAACTCAAATGCATCACCCCAATCATCTTAAATCTCTTGATTTAAGCATCACAATCACAAATACAAGTTACTAAACAACTCCAACATGATTTAGCGAAAAAGAAAAAAGTGGTCAGCCATTTTACCTCAAAACTAGAGCTTGCTAGTGTTCTCCTTCACTTCCCCTTGAAATTTTTAGTTCCCTAAGCTTCCCAAGCTTCCAATTTACAAGTTAATCGGTTTAGAATCTTGTTTTTTTTCACTTAAATGGTGCAAATCAAGATGAAGTGAAGTTGTTTTTCTCTTGCTCTCTCTCTCTCTTATTCACGGCTAGGAGGAAGAAAATAAGGGCAATTTGTGTGTTTTTTGATGATAAATATGGAGGAAAATTGGTTGGTCAACACTTAAGGGATGGTTGCCACTTGTCGCAACCAAAATCCATCTCAAAATTTTTTTTTCCTTGCATTTTTTGGTCAAATATTTTGGTTAAGAGGGCTGAGGATGAGAGAGATATTTTGCACCAATATCAATTATATTTTATGGTGAGGAAAGTGTTGGTCAAGTGGCGTGTCCAATCGGTAGTGAACGATACCCGTCGGTTCGAGACGATTTTCCCTAAATCGCGTATACTAGGGTTTTAACTTATAATTCACTTACTTATTATTATCACTTTTACTCACACACTTAACAACACTTAAAACTCACTCTTAATCACCAAATTTGATCCACACTCTGCACCGGATAGTTTCACTACGGATAGACGTAAAAACCCTAATTCGCGCTAACTTGAAATCGAAAAGAGAAAACCCTTACTTCTATATTCATTTGCACTTATTGTGGAGTGATTGGGTAGTAGGACTATTATAAAGTAATAATTTTCAAATAATTTCCAAGTAAAAGGGAATTTTTAAGAAAAATATAAGGAATTTGCAAGTCCTCACACTAATTTCCAAGTCATAAGATAACTTAATCGGCTTCACATCTACTCCACTCATGAATTTAGGATTTATAAAAGAATGTGTTGCACCAGAGTCAATTAAAACCTTAGCTAAATGGTGGAAGATAGGAATTGTACCTTCAACCACCTCAGTGAAATCAGGAATCTGTTGATGGTCCAATGCGTAAACCCTAATCGTCACCTTAGGTCGACTCCCCCCAACACTAGACTGCTTAGAGGCCGACTTCTCTGGCCATTGAGTACTACCTCCTTCCTTCGATACACTTGGATAACTTGAGAGTTGGTGCTCGGCACTGCCACAGTACAAACATTTTTCCAATTTCCTCCAACATTCATTCTCTGTGTGGTTGGACTTACCACAGTAGCCACAAACAACTTGAGGAGCCACGGCCTGTCTACTAGGAGGTGTTCCTCTTGCTTGGCCTTACCCATTGCAACCTTCCCTTGATAAAGCCCCTCTTGATGCTCTAGCAATCCTTACTCCTCCTGCTCCTCTTCCCATTTTAGGAGGTGGGGTAATCTTACTTGCTTGTCCAAGAGAGTGAGTAGGAGTTCCCATTTTCTTGGCATGAAAATCTTTAACTTGCAGCCTTGCATTTTCGACTTCTACACTTTCTCTAGGATTTCAGTGAACGTAGAGATTTGGGCTGCTGCCAACCCCTCTTGAATCTCCATTTTAAATTCTTGTACAAATCGTCTTATGCTTCTCTTTTCAGTGGCAACCAATTCTGAAACGTACCTAGAAAGTTTAGTAAATCTCCCCTCATAGTCTGCCATGCTAGAAGCCCCCTGTCTCAATTTTATGAATTGATCCTCCCGTTTCTCTTGAATCAAGGGCGGGACAAAGTTCTCATTAAACTCTCTTATAAAGTTTTTCCAGATCTATTTTTTTCTTATCACATCTCACCAAGCACATGTTGCACCCTCAAATTGAAAGGTAGCAAAGTTCACACGCCTCTTCTCGGTATAATCTAAGGCGGCGAATATATTGGTCATTCTCTCTAGCCAGTTTTTCGCTAATTCTGGATCGGGTCCCCCAAGAAATTTAGGTGGAGCAAACTTCAAAAATCACTCCAAGGCTCTATCCTCCCCTCTCTCCTGAGCCCCGAGTTGGTTAACAGGTCCTGGACCCTGTCGCTCTACTAACCGTTCTAAGATATCCGTTATACGGTTAATGGCAGTTGCCACTTGGTTTCCCTCTACATTTCCTTGTCCTTGGCTCGGCCTAGTTGCTGATCCTTGATCATCCCCATGGGCTTGGGGTTGTCAACCCCACGCCCTTGACGCCTTCTGCTTTTTCGGCTGTCCATAGTCTTAATTATGTCTAAAGACATAGACGCAAAATAAATATACATAAGTAACGCAAAATGACACTTTAATCATGCAAGGTAAAAAAAAATAAGGAAGAAACCAAAATGGTCGCATATAAACACAATTCATGGCATAGATTAGGAGTTATAGTACAATAAAGGGCACATCAAAAGTAAATTCAAGTACTTCAAATGATAGGCCGCACAGTTAAGCAAAATATAATAGCCTTTGAACTAGCACTACCCCGACTAATCCTAATTAAAAAAGTGTTAAAAGGTTCAACATTTCTAGCCTAGTTTGCAACAGAACCGCTAGTTTGGACCTCCTCCTTTAGGTCCTCTCAACAGTGCCCTCATGGGCTGAGCTCTCAAATCCGTCTACTACCTCATTTATCAGCATGGTGGTGTCAGTTAAAATTCCAGCGGCTCGCTCTTTGATCTCCTTGACTATCCTAACTAGTCGAGCCCTAGTCCTCTGAACTTGGTCACGAGCGGCCATATCTCTAACCCGCTTATCGATCACTGTCCCTTCAAGTTCCACGATCCTAGCACTCTGGGCCTCCACTATAGCCCTCAGCTCCTCAACCTGCTCAAGTAGTGCCCTATTAGAAATCCATAGCTGTCGGCGCTCATTATCAATGGACAGCACTAGATCATTAGGGTAGGCATGCGTCTCCCTACAAGAAAAATGAGGGAATCTAGAGGAATGCGAGTATCGGACACGAGGTCCTCCACCAAATACTCGATATCGGATAGGTCTAAGAGGCTCCACATGACCGTTAGTCTCTCCATTACCATTAGCTGCATGACCTCCATTACCGTTCTCCATTCCTACAAAATAACCACAAAACTCAAGGTTAGAAACTTAAGGTCATTAATTCACTCAAACATCAACTTAAGGTATAACTAAGTTATTTCATTCCTATTTCCAAGAGTAAAACCTCTAAAATATCTCCCAAATAGGTCTCTAAACCTAGGTTCTGATACCAATTTTGTTGACCCCACTTCTCCTTAGGGCGAACCCTAGGATATCGGCGGGCCGCTTGCTTAGCTTTCGCCAGGGTTCGATATGAATCAAATTTAAACTTAACGGTACACAACCAATAATAAAAGCCAATATAAAGAAAAGTCGCTTCATCATATAATCATTCAAGTCTTACATCACGAATTTCCCAAAAGATACATCAAAAGTTTACCCCAAAATACAACCTTCCAAAGTTGACTAAACATTTACATCCAAATTCTAATCAAAAGGTAATCAAATCAGCTTCTCCAAAAATCTTTCCATCGGAGCTCCTGTTAAGGAAAACAAACTACAGGGGTGAGCTAATGCTCAATGAGGTCAAGAAAAGCATGCAAATAAATAAGTTCAAGCAGCAATAAAGCTTACACAAAAGGAATAGCCATAACATTCAAGTTATTCACAAGGGAAAGTAAAACACAATCAATGAGGATACAGAAGCTCTTAGGAGCTAACTCCACACAGTTTGACCAAGGCCTTGATCCAAATATCCCACGTTGACTCCCGTCAACTGAGCAAGTACCAAATCTGCAGACTCCACTTTCACCAAATTCCATCCACCGTTACACCCCCTACCGGGCTCGCACGTCAACTAGAAAACGCAATACTACTCGAGTATGTCAAGCAAGATCTCAAAAGATCAAACTTTATAATTTTCTCATGGTTTACCAAGTTTCTCAACCAAACCTATGCCAACTCGATTCGCAAGGTTAGCCAATGAGTTTTAGAAATCCCCACAAGTACAATTATAATTTGTCGACGAGGTTCACTCCAATCGACATGCAAGTTCAAGTTCAATACAAGTCAAGTTCAAGTAAGTCAAATAACAAGTCAAGTAAAGGAGAGCGAGTGCGATAAAATACACACTTGCCTCGTCAAGTCATGTTCACATATACAAACAAGATCAATCAAGTAGATACAATAATTCATGCACTTGACATTCACCAAGTCAAAAGTAAGTGAGCTATTAAGGCCTTTAGTTGTCCTCACCGGGATCCCTTTCGAAACCCTCTTGAGCACCTGAAGAAATAGTGACCAACCATCACTCACATATACTCTAGATCACTTAACATTCAAGGAAGAAAATGCACTTGTTTAAAATTTAAGACAACGCCTTAAAAGAATTTTAATCCATCAAAAATCGAGATTCAAAAATGAGAGTTTAAAGTCTCAAGGGCAACATGTTTCATCCATGAAATCAAGTCCAAAACGGACTATCAATCTCAAAAGGAAGGGGAAAGTTCATAAAAGTTAGTTTCTTAAGAAATCAGAAAATTTTAGCTTTACGCGACAAAACTTGGAAAATCAGACCTTGAGTTTGGTAAGTCTAAAAATTAGACTTTACACCATTGGAAACTAGATTCATAGTACTAAAACTTTCCAGAATACACTTTTCCCAGATTCCAACTGGAAACCATTCAAATCTCTGTTCAAATTTGTTGTTTCATGAAAACAGGGCAAAACCAGTTCTCGTTTTTCAGCAAAGTTTGGAAATTCGGAAAAATTCATAGTTATTGAATTAACCTCTGAAATTTATAACAAAACAAGATTTTCAAGTAAAGTTTCAAACACAACAAGCGGAACTAAATTTGGATTTTTGAACAGCAAGTTACAACAGTTTGAAAATAGCTGGATTTCACAGCCTGTTCAACAATTTTCCATTTTCCAGCCTTGACATAGTTTTGAAATCAGATCATATCTAACTCTACACAAGTTCAAATTGCCAATGGTTTAAGGCGTTATAAACTAGATCCAAAATGCTTCAAATCATTAGAAGACGTCATTTTCGAACTCCTTTCACAAGTGAGATGAAATTGAGCCACAAGATACAGTTTCTCAGTTTCTCTTGGGTAAACAGATAAAACAGGTCAGTCCAATTTGCCGATTCGGTACGGCTCACTCAAAATGAACTAGTAGGGAAATTTTATACCGTTGGAAAGATCTTGGTGTCTAGTTTCAAATGCCATAAACGGCACTCGATTTTGACTTTTATACAAAGAGTTTTACTGAGACAAAGAACTACTATTTGGCTGCCCTGGCAGCAAATTTCCAGATTTCTACTTTTCACAAAACCCAAGTTTTATGCAGCCAATTGAAGTGATTTTTGAAAGCCAATTTCCACACACATAATACAACATATAACAAGCAATTTAGTAGCCATATAATCAACAAAATTTTGAACTCCAAGCAAGACAACAAAACAGAAATTTAGGCCAGCTCTCTTAAGAGTTTTTTTCCAACTTCCTCTCCTCTTATCAAGCCCATATCAAGTCCCTCATCACATAAACAACAACAATTAAGTAAAAGGACCTCAAGTCAGCTACCTAAATACCACCTCAAGAACACTAGTTTAGAATATAAAGCAAGAAATAAAAGTTCCTCAAGTCCTTTAGCCTAATATCTTGAGTAGGGTTTCAAACCCATGAAATTCAACCTCTATACTTGGTGAAATTTGAAAGATTAAAGGTGGATGAAGTGATTACCTCTTCAAGCTCTAAACCCTAGTTGAATGCAAGCCTTTTCACCACTACTTCACTAAGAAACACTACAAGGTTGCACCTTCCTTCAAGCTAGAGAAAGAATCCAAATGATTTGTGGGTTGGTTGATGAAGAACAAGCAAGATTGAAGCAAAAGAATGAAGCTTTCTCTTCCCTTTTTTCTTTCCTTGGTTCGGCCAAGAGAGAGAGATGGTGAGGGAGTGTTTGTGCTTTGATTTTGTGGATTGAAAATGAAGAAAGACTAACCATAAGTTTTGTGCAAAAGTCAACTTTCAATAGTGGCTCAATAGTGCGTTGCACTACCACTTTCTTTCTTGTTTGATACACTTAACTACTAATCCTCCAAGGTACTTCCTCTGACACTACAATTACTCATACTTACTAGTTTAGTATTAAATTCTCAAATCTCCAACTAGTCGCGCCGGTGCAACTTTCGAAAAACTTTTGACGCGTGTGCGGTAAAAGCTTAATTTAAGAAACATCATGCAAAATAGTAAAATTAAATAACACTAGTGCAAAATAATTATAAAATAGACTAAAGTCAGAATAAAAACATGAGTCCTCACAATCTAGCCTTGATATGGACTTGTATGAAGATTTATAGCTTTAATATGACTTTTAACTTCCAAATAAGAATTTCCAACTTTAGTTGCAAAATTCCAGCTTTCGAAGAGAATTTCCAACTTAGTTATATGTTGGTTATAGCTAGTTTTGTGGCCAAAATAAGTACTCTATGTATCTTATACCTTGTGAACTTGATTTGGAGCTGTCTTGTGGTGAAAATGAAGCCTTGAATATGGTTGAAAATTAGAAAAAATGAGGGGAAGTGGTGCTGAAAATTTTTTCTATAGGAGACTTTGAGTAGTCTTAGGAAATCTGTTATATCTTGGTGTAGAAAAATTCAAATTGAGTTCTATTTATTGCATTTGAAACTAGACTCATAGATATTTTAACCGTGTAAAAATCAATGGTTGGTTCAACCCCTATAAATACCAGAAAATTTACAAAATTTCTTGAAAAATCATGACTGTTCTGTTTTGCACATGAGCCAGCAGTGATTTTAAACTGAAAATTTGATTAACCTATGAGTTGAATTTTGTAGACACCAAATTTTTATTATTTTTAATTTCATTTTTATCATTTATTATTTATTTATTAATTGGGTTAGACTCATCATTTTCATTTTGTAAGATGTTAAAAGTGGCTTTAATTCTCTTAAATTTGGTTTGAAAATTGTTAACTTATTTTTAATTGATTTTTGAAGAAAAATGAAAATGACAAAAAGTAAGGGAAAATGTGTGGATAGGTGGAAGTGTGCATGTTGAACAAGTGTACAAAATAATCATTAGACAAGTGTCTAAGGAATTATAGGACAAGTGTATAGGAGGTAGGTGTTAAGGACACTTGGAGGTAAAGGGGGGTAAAAAAAAAAAAAAGGTTGGCGGTTGAGTTGGGTCGAGGGGAGCAAGGCCGAAGAGGAAAAAAAGAGAAGAAAAAAGCTCACGGGGAAGGAGGGAGGAGGTTTTTTGGTCTGAAAGCTTGGTGGTGGAGAGAAGAAAGAAACAGAGCTAAAGAAAAAACTGAGAGCAGACGGCTAGGGTTTGAGAGGTCTAGGAAGGGTTGGCGGCTGAGTTAGAGGGACGGAAAGAAAGCAGAGGGTCAAGGCTGGAGAGGAAAAACAGAGCAAACAAAAAAGAGACAAAGGGTGGCGGCTGGAATCTGGGGAGGATTGCGGAAAAGAACACAGAAAAAGGAAAGGGAAAAGCTACGGCTGAAGGAGCAAGGCTTCGGACAGAAATGAAAAGCTAAGGAAAGGGCCAGAGGAAAAAGCTTCAGGCGGCTAGGAAGCAAAAGAAAAAACAGAGGCGGACGGACAAAGGAAATCAAACGAGGGGAGCAAGGAGAGGAACCACCGCCGCTCATGCTGCCACCACTTCACCGAACCCGCCATCATCATCTGCGAATTTTCATCAAGCAAGAGTTTTGTAAGCTATCTTTTCCCTTCAAATTTCAGTTTTTTCTTTTAAGCATGGACGCTGGAAACTCTCTGGTCTTTTTATCACAATTTCTTGGTAGACTGCCTATGTTTCTTCATTGCAATTTCTTAGTGAAAGATTGCTGCTTTGTTTGCTGATTGGGTTGAAATTTCTGTTTTTTTTTCTGACAATTTTGGGGCCAACCGTGACTTCATTTGAGCAAAGATTTGTTGGAATTTTACATGCCCATTCCCTGTTTGTTAAAATGCCCAAGTGGAACTCCTACCTGAAGGATGATTGAATCTTTGTTGCTGTTAGATTTTGTTGTTGTCGCG